TGGGCTGAAGTTATCTTGGTTGGCATCCTACCAACAGACTGTAGCTTGTTATTTCCTTGAAGTTGGTAATTACTTATCCTAGTCCGTTGTGGAATTTCCTTCATTGTAGTTTGTTTTGATTTTTTATTTCACTTTTATCTGCTCATTAAATTCGGACTGTATTGCTTTCTTTTGAAGACTATTTTTTAATAAGTTTTATCTCAAACGGAGAATTGAACAGTGGGGCCAAGTTGCAGGCATTAAAGGACATTTATTTACCTTTTGGATTTTGTTACGTTTGTGTTACACTCCGGGTCATCATAGCTAAGGCAGGACTTGAACTCTCAGTCTCTCTTCCTTTCTAGTCTTTAACCAGTAGATCAATAAATATAAATAATCAATTCATATCATCCACATGCTATGGAAAACCTTCTGACCAAGGTTTGCTGGTTCATCTTTCTGGCTAGTGACATTCAAAATGTACACTTTCAAAGAAACATTTATATCTGAGTATGTCGCTTGAAGGCCAACTTTTGTGAACATTTTTGACTTGTGTGGCTTGAGGTTTGTATATTGTCCTCTTACTTAAGGGTCCAAGAGCCACTCTTTCGAAGACAGCAAAGTCCACGTTTTGGACAAGGGCCTCTAGTCTGAAAGAGGGGTCATTTATGTCAAAATTGATGGTCTATCACATGGTCTATCTCCAATCTACAACAAAGTCAGCAGTTCCAAGAAGGCTCCATACCCATTTGCACCACTCAGGTGACCCTGAGGACACAGAGAAACCTCCAAGTGGCCTCAATGACCCTCTAAAAGGATGCAAATGACCAGCTATCTACAAGGAATATAAATCCTTCCATTCCTCCCCATTCAGTCAGAGCTGAAGAAGCTTCTTGGATGAAAAGCATAATGTCTTCAAAGAAAAACCAGAAAGTCCAATTGCCTCTTGAAAAAATAACTTTTGGAACAACCATGACCTGGATGATTGAGAATCTCCATAGACAAAATGTTGTTTTCTTTCATCAGTCTATATACAATTTGTAGTTGACCTAGCACTATACACACATCCTGAATAATATCACTGGCAGGCCCAAAGTCTTTGTTCACATGGGGTACATTAGGTGCTTGATTCTTTCTACTTTTTAAATAGTATTCACTCCTGCCAATGCACAAAATATACATCCTGTTAACTGGCCAACAAGGATCTATTGTCAACCGATCAATAAGCCATATCTCATTCAGAAACAAACTGAAGTTTTGAAATAGTTCTCAGTGCTATTTTAAACTGTTGATACCCAGATATGAACAATGGCAAACACTTTTAAGATAATGGTTTTATTAATGGGCTGAGTTTGTGCAGTGCAAAATGTGTTTGAACAAGAAACCAGTTTCCACCAGCAATGTTTGACCCTTTAAAACAAAACAAAAAAAGTTGTAGAACCGCTTCCTTAAACACAGTCATGTCAGAGACTCCAACTCAATGAAATTTTTGATTGTCATAGTGGAGCCATCAATAACATCAAGGATCTTCAAACTTGGCCAGTTTAAGACTTGTGGACTTCAACTCCCAGAATTTCTGAGCTAACATGGCTCAGGAGGAGGAATTCTGGGAGTTGAATTCCACAAGTCATAAAGCTGTCAAGTTTGAAGACCCCTGAATAACATTATCTGGCATAACTGAAGGGGCCACGTAGAACAAGGTCTCTAGCTGAATGCTTGCACATGTAAAATTAATAAAAATTAATAAAATTAATTTTGCTTGTACAAGCAACAACATGAAAATCTTTCCAAGAGGACTGAACCGATATTAACAAATAGACTTGATAATATGGCAATATTAATTTATATTTTGGCATGGATGGATGCAGAATTGCTCTCTACAGTAAATCTTTGATTTACAACAGTTCATTTATGACCTTTTGAAGTTATGATGGCCTTGAAAAAAACTGACTTGTGGCCATTTTTCACACCCATGATTGTTGCAGCATCCCCATGATTTACATTCAGATTCTTGACAACTGACTCATAGAATCAGTTGGATAATTCCTTTTTGTGACCTTCTGACAAGCAAAGGTTCATTTAACAACTGGGTTACTAACTTAACACTTAACAAATGTGGCAAGGAAAGTGGAAAAAACCCACTTAACAAATTCCTCACTTAGCAACATAAATTTTGAGTTCAGTTGTGGTCGTAAGCTGAGGAATGACTACCTGTGTTCAGATTAAATCTGAACAGAAAGGCACACAATATTTCTCTTAAATGGAAACTCAACGATTGACCAAACCCCAGAAATTCATCTTTTTAAGCACCTCTGAGAAGAAAAGGTGTTGGGTTTGTGCTTCGTTTAGTATACAAGAAGTAAAATAGAAAGAGATTGTTGAAAATACTGCATTGTGAATCTTTCAGCAAAATTACAGGGTATGATGCAAGTAGCAGAATATTTTGGTACAGAATGCAACATGTGTCCCATACGGATAAGATTGCCATGAAAGGCTCATAGTAGGATATACTCATCGATAAGCATAATTCATAACTATGCACCGCACTGTAGCATCACCATTAAACTATGAGTAGCTTAACCTTCTTCTTCTCCTCCTCCTCCTCCTTCTCCTCCTCCTCCTCCTCTCTTCCTCCTCCTCCTCTCCTGAAAGGCAACTCCTTTGGAATAAGGATTAGTAGCCATTTACTGATATATTAAAATCTTGTTTTTATTGCTATTCTAAATTATGACTTGTAGAATACTTAGCAGTTTAGCATTCTGGGGGTTTCTTTGACAAATATATTTCACTGCTCTCTTTGAGAAAGAATTTTTAAAGTAAAATCTTAATCTTAAGGCATAGGATTCTGAATTACATTGAAGAAGTCCAATGTTCTAGAAATAGGTTCCTTAAAGGTGGGGGGGGAAATCTATGTGCCCATTATTTATTATTTCTAGCAAATGTATGCCTGGTTGGAATTGAAACTCAGATACTTTGGCTTTGTAGTTATTTAAAATGCTTGTAAAAGAAGAGACTGCTGATCTTTTCAGAGTGGTATTTGGATAAGAATAGTAGCAAGTCAAAGTACAGGACTGATGTGTTTTCACACCAGTTAATGAAGACTCAAATATCCTGATTTAGTTGGTTTGCAGGCGTGGGTGAAGACTTAATTATGCATCCCCTTCTTAAGGCTTAACATATTTATCAAGTTTGATTGAAGTCATGGAAGGTTCAGCTCATGTATTTGCAAAATGCTTTTCTGGCGAAAACCAAGTTCAAAACTTTGGATGAATACCCATTCCTAAGAGAAGATTATGGAGAAACAAAATATCAAATTCCAACCCCTATCATTTCTGTCTGTCTGCACTCATAATTTTACATTAGGCATTAAAAGAGTGTAAATGTGTGCACTTTGTGTGTTATTGTCAATGTAAATATTTCTGAAGATCATTAATATGTGCCTTCTAAACACTGTGTGTTTTAAAATGGTTTTTAATTAAGAACGCATCAATTTAAGGTAGCAGCTCAGAATGTGGTAGAATAGAATAACAGAATTGGAAGGGACCTTGGAGGTTTTCTAGTCCCACCCCCTGCCTAGGCAGGAAACCTTACACCACTTCAGACAAATGGTTATCCAACCTCTTCTTAAAAACTTCCAGTGTTGGAGCATTTACAACTTCTGGAGGGAAGCTGTTCCACTGATTAATTGTTCTCACTGTCAGGAAATTTCTCCTTAGTTCTAGTTAGTTCTCTCCTCAATTGGTTTCCACCCATTGCTTCATGTCCAACAATCATGTACTTTGGAGGATAGCTTGACCCCTTCATCTTTGGGGCAGGCCCTCAAATACAGGAAGACTGCTATCATGTCTTCCCTAGTCCTTCTTTTCATTAAACTAGACATACCGAGTTCCAGTGACCGTTCTTTATATGTTTTAGCCTCCAGTCCCCTAATCATCTTTGTTGCCCTTCTCTGCACTCTTTCTAGAGTCTCAATATCTTTTTTTTTTTTTACATCGTGGCGACCAAAACTGGATGCAATATTCGAAGTGTACCCTTCAAAGTTTGAGAAAATGCAGTTAAAATTGCAGCATTGCAAACAGTAATTCAGAGAAGGTTTTTAGTGACTTGACTGCAAAACAAAATTAATCTTAACTGATCTTCGCTGATTCCATTCAGAGAAATATGAAATGAAATATATTTCTGTGGGCTTTTCAACATTGATCCCAGCCTGTCATAGCTTGTGCAGATGTCACTGATTAGTTTAACATATCATGGATTTTTTAAAAGAACAGTTACAAATAATAGTTTCCATTAATTTTTAATCACTTGTAGGCCAGACAAGGAATAATGGATGGAAACTGAACAAGAAGAGGTTCAACCTGGAAATAAGGAGAAACTTTCTGACAGTGAGAACAATCAACCCATAAAACAGAAGTTGCCTTCAGAAGTTGTGGGATCTTCTTCACTTGAGTCTTTCAAGAAGACTGCCATTTGTCAGAAATGGTGTAGGGCAGTGATCCCCAACCTTTTTGACGCCGCGGCCCGGTACCGGCATCAGCTGGGCGCCGCGGCCCGGTACCGGCATCA